AAAAAAAAAAAAAAAAAAAAAAAAAAAAAAAAAAAAAAAAAAAAAAAACAACCTTAAGATCCACGAAGGCTAAAATGCTTAATGGAGCTTCATGGATCGCCATGTTTATGCCAACAAACAAGCATAGCGACACATCGGCGCATGATGTAAAATCTAGCCTTTTGCTCTTTAGCCAAGCTGCTACATTTGTGGCCAATGGATGAAGAGGAGGAGTTTTTTTGGGAGGAGCTGCGGCGGAGATCGGAAGGGGATTTGCCAGAGGTGGCGGCCGTCGCGGCGGCGGCGGAGGAGGAAGGAGTGTGCTTTTGTGATAAGCTTCTTAGCAATGGTAGTTTCGAGGAAGTGCTTCTGGTGGAACCGCTTCTGGAGAAGAAAGACTTGGACGAAGAAGAACAACCCGATTCCTTCTTTGAAAGCTTCCATTTTTCTTCCATGTCAGGCGGAAAATTATCTCCGGCGTTCTTTTGATCTCTGTAAATTAATTTCCGGCGATAAAAAATGGAAATCTCCGATTAAAAATGAAGATCCAGAGACAGAGAGAGAGAGAGAGGAACAAAAAATGGGAAGTGAGAGAGTGCGAAGTTGGTAGGGCTCAGCAGTTACAAGTCATTCTGATATATTTATATTTTTTTATTATATTATTTTGAGATTCCAATATTAAATTAATTATAATTTATTAATAATTATATAACATTAAATTATTTATAATTAATTAATAAGTAAAAAAAAAGTCCATCATCCTGCTATTTTAGTCAATCTTATGGATTCTCGAGGCTTTATTATATGGATCCAATGACGCTGTTCTCTAGAAATACTCTTCTGTTTGCTTAGCTTGATTAAACTCATAATACAATTAATAATTAAATACGATGCAGTAGAGATTCTTAGGCACATGAAGCTACAGAAATTTAATTAGGCGGTTACATAAAATAGTTAGAAATTAATGTAATGTATATTTTAATAAAAACATTACTATATAAATATTATTCATATATGAGCTTCATAATCCGCATTTAATTACATTGTCGCGTATTATCCCAGCTTATTAATCCTTGGTTGGTTATTTTAATTATATTCATAAACACATCTAAGTAATGATAAATTTCAATATTTTTAAACATTAATGTATGCTCTATCCAAATATTGTCCGCTTTAACTCGTTACGTATCTTGTTAGTCTCGCAATTTTAAAACGCGTCTTTTAGTGTTACTCAGCAGAACCGGCACTCATCCAGATGTTATCCTCTTTGAATTTTTTTTCCCGAGCTTTCCCTTTTGAGCTTCCTTTAACTGATGTGGGAAAGTCCGGAAGGGAAAACCCCACATAGGACAGTATCTGGATGAGAAATACTTTCGTTGCGCAACTCTGAATGACGCGTCTTAAAACTGTGAGACTGGCGATGATATGTAACAGACCAAAACGGATAAACCGATGTCGCATATGAATGAATCAAATCTATCAACTATTAGACATGAATGAACCTACGTCGTGTCTGAATGAGAGGATGACTAGATCAAGAGGACACAGTTACTTGTACTTATACCAATAAAATTCAATTTTTTTAACAGCTCAATCATAAGCCATTCGAGAAGATATAGGAGAAAGTCGAGATCATCAAGAATCAAAATTTTATTTAAATCTCGAGCGTGGAACATTACCTAACATAAAAAAAAAAAAAAAAAAACTTTATTTAATTATAAATTTAATTTATGCGTATTGCAGACGAAGGCCTTAAATTCGAGTACGAAATAGGAATTTCCAGAAGGCAATATGAATTAAAATCGTTGACTGGTCAACAACTTTATGGTCAGGTAGAAATGTTGGACCTTTGGCACACCATTAATAATAATAATAATAATGTCACACAGCATTTTCACACACACCATTAATAATTACTTTTCAAATAAATTCTTAATTAATTTTATGATTAGCTTAATTATGGAAATTAAAAAAATTAATTTTATTTAGAATTAGGGAAAAAACAGGTATTGATTGATGATGTTTAGTTGATAATTAGGAATATTAATGATTAATTAAGCAGCAATTATAAGAAAAGGAACCGTACGAGGATCTGATTGGTCAAAGAAACATGGTTAATGGGGTCAAACCCAGTAGCACATGGCATGTTTTTAGGTTGGTGTACGAATTCACCATTCCCATAGGGCTTTTATTTTATTTTATTTTATTATTTTAATTTTGGTTTTCTGGGGTACCCTACAAATTTTGCAAGCCTTAAAATCATGTGAGGATTTCAGAGTGTTTAGGGGTGTCCCACATGGTATCATGTGGAGGGCACGAGCGTATGGGTCAGTGACCCGATATGCCCAAAACCCTAACCCCTCACATATGTCTTGCAAATTTGGGTATTTAATGGCCATTAAATTCCCCCCATCCTTTTACACCAATGTTTCTAAGATAAGGTCTCTTGCTAATAATTTTGATGTTAATGTGTCATCAATTCGAGCAACATTCAAACTTGTCTTTATTTTCGGGTTGTTTATAGATGAAGAAATTATTAGATTGTTATCGTTCGGTCAAATTATAAGTTTAGTCGTTGAGAGGACGATGCAGAGAAGATTAGCATGTTCACTGCGCAAAGATGACACGCACAAATCGAGAAATGGTATCAAAGCCAGGTACTGCGATGTGCCAGTGATGAATTGTGAGATCTCACATAGGTTAGAGAGGGAAATGAAACATTCCCTATAAGGGCATAGAAACTTCTCCCTAACAGACGCGTTTAACTTTGAAGAGAAGCCTAGAATGGAAAGTCCGAAAGAGGACAATATTTACTGGTGGTGGGCTTGGGCTATTACACTCCTTATTCGGTTAGAGAATACAAACACATGCAACATAAATGAGATCTATCATTTAAAACCGCATTCTCTTGAGTTAGTCGAGGACATTGTTTTAATCATTTCCTTTGAATATTTTTCGTTATGTTATCTTAAAATTCTTATGCAATAAAGTTCATGATATCGTTTTATGAAATTCTTTTAAATGAATGTTTTCACATAGAGAGATAACGTCATGCATATGGTAGCGACTCTACTTTTACTATTTTTCAAGCTCGTGGACAATGGTGTTGACCTTTCATATCACAAACATGATATAAACGGAGTACAAAGACGAAAAACGAGCTTTTAAAATTACACAAAACCAAAATAAACGAGAACAAAAGGTACGGGATTAAAAGTAGAATTCAAACCTAATATATATATCAAAATGAATTATTTGAATAACCTATGCTCACTTGATTGACTTGTCTCACTCACAAATGCCTTTATTGCTTATCTGCAGCCTTTTCAATTGCAACCACACGAGGTAATAAAACAAATCCTCAAATAATTATTTGAAGATCGAAAAGTAGGTTGTGACCCTCACATCTAGACAAACAAGGCGACGACCTTCAAGTGACACTCATCTGACCATGTGAAGGTCGAGACAGATAACTACTACGACGCAATCGAGGAAGACGGTGCATCATTTAATACACCAACAAATAATGGATGCGACCGAACAGGTCTCTCCATGGTTATAGAGAAAACGGGGACCCACAAGAATTTCATTCATTCCTTTTTTTAGGGTTTCATCGGGAACAAATTCAATGGAGACGAGCTGGAGCTAATAGTTCAGAGAATTAAAGTATGTGACTGACTATAAATCATGAGGTTGAGGGTTCGAATCCCTCTTCCCCCACTATGATTAAAATATTAAAATTGGACTTAACAACTAAATATTAAATCAATATTAACTAACTTATGAATATTTTTTATGTTATATATTTTGTATATACACTATAAATGTGAAATATATTTTTAAAATTGTATAATTATTTATGGTTGATTTAATTATTATGTACATTACCGTTAGATAAATAATACAATGTATGGAGCCAATAGATGGAATTCCTTGTTGGTTAGTGATGCTAATATTATCGAAGGAAATTAAAATAGTAATAATAATAATAATAATAAAAAAAAAAGTGCTTTATGGTTAATCAAAAATGGTAATCATGATTAAGTGGGTACTAATCTTGTGGCTTATATTAAAAGATACGTCTGCTAAAGTCGCACCCTTTCCTAGTCTTTGTCTCCCATTGGAAATCACTTTTCCATTCACATTTTGGATTATTGCATTATCAATTAAATAAAGTTTTATTTATTTTCGTCTTTAAATTTTATAAATTCTCGTTGAAATTTATTAAATTTATTAATTCATACGGTCGGTTGGTTGATTTGATTAGACGAGATTGTTACATTTTTTTACCCAAATAACCGTGATTAAGTAATGAATTTCATCCAACTCAACTATAAAATACTTGGAGTGTGTTGTTTCGTAACAACTCGAGATCATCGCTATCAGATATTGTCCGTTAAAACGCCTCTGCTAGAGAGAGGTTTCCACGCTCTTATATAGATTGTCTTGTTCGCCTTTTCAACCAATGCGAAATCTCACAATCCACCTCCTTAGGGCCAGTATCCTTGCTGGCATACCATCCAATGTCTAGTCTAATACCATTTGTAACCACTCAAAAGCCACCGCTAGCAGATATGTCCGCTTTGACTTGTTACGTATCGTCGTCAGCCTCATCGGTTTAAAATGCTTATACTAGAGAGAGGTTCCACACCTTTAAAAAAATGCTTTGTTCACTTCTTTAACCGATGTGAGATCTCACATGTCATCAATCGTTTATTCAATTTTTATAGTAAAAATAAAATTTTGACGTGTACAATTTATATTTATTTTAAAATTTTGAACACAAATTCAGGATAATAAATAATTAAATAATTATGAAATTAAATAAAATTAAAATATTCTTATGTTTATATTATTACATCGTAAGCAAAACAAAGTATTTGGTAAACTACTTGATTCTAATTTTGTAATAAATTTGTAATCAATGACTATATTTGGAATATTATTTTTCAATGCCACGTTTTATTTAAATTATGTATTTTGTTTTGCCAAAATAAATAAATAAATAAATATATTTACGTGGAATTAATGGGCCAGCTTTTTCCGTGGGCCGAGAGGACAAGCCCAACAAGAAGAAAACGAGTTAATGTGGGCCAACGAATGGCCGAAGCCCATCGAAACCAGGACCCCTTAAATATCTCACGTGGCACGTAGCATTTTTAGCGTTCAATATAAACTGAAATAGTGAAATGATAACATTTGCGTTTTTTTATATAATAAATAAAAGTTATTATTATTTTATAAATAAAAAATTATTTATTGTTTTCTGAAATTTTAAATTAAAACAAAAATTTCAATTTATAAAAACGTGTGTTAATTTTATTTTAGACATTTATTATAAATTTTATAAATGAAAATGGTTATAAAACATGCTAATAATAACGTTAAAATTTTGATGATGTAATCTTTAAAATGTAAAAAGTATGAGAATAGAGTATAATTGTGCAGTAAAAACTAGTTATTTGACTATATTAGGTCAGTGTTGAATCTCGATACAGTTTTGTCTGTCTCTCTCGTAGCGTTTATTCTCGAACAAGCTTGACTTGTTGATATTGTACGTCGGATCAACTATTTACCGACCCTTAACTTCTTGATCACGT